TACCTTATTACCCTTGTTGTAGAAGATTACCAATTTGACCTTTGTTGTAGCTTGATCTTTAACTTGGAGGCAATTAACACTTTATTCACTTTTAACAAATTTCTAACTATCTAGAAATTAAAACAACAATACATTGAACATGTTTTGTTCTACGACATTAGCCATCTAAGTCCTATTGACCTAACACATCTCGCCTTAGTCCTTTCACTCCCAAACTTCCTCTCACCTCTCTCTCTATTCATTGCAAAACCCTCTATCACATGGAATTTTCAGAGCTCTGGTCCTATCTCACTCTTATGTGCGATCTCTCTGTGAAACCAGATATTCCCCCTCTCTCCTCTTTTTGAAGCCCTCGGTCGCCCTTCTCTCTCCACTTTCTTGTCAATCTTGATCCTCTCTGCAATTGGGTAGATTCTACTTGAGCTTGTTGCAAATCTTTAGGGCTGATTGAAATCGCTGCAATCGGTGCGCCGCATTCGGTAGCAAGAACTCCTTGGCGTCACTCAAAGAATATCTAGATTGGGCTTAATGTATACACTATTTACTACATATTGTATATAGTATTCTGCATAGTAATCTGATTATATATATAAGTGTGTATATATATATATATATACTTGTATATATATATATTTTTTGTTTGGTGTATTCTTCTAAGTTCCTTTGACTACTCTTAAATTGAATTACCTATTTATTCTTAGACAGATTAGATATGGAAAGACAGATACTAGTTTATTTTATTGATTCTCTCTTTTCCGGTACCTAAAGCTGAATCTGGAAACAGGTGGGTTGATGTCAGGTAGACTGCCGACTGAAAAATTTATGTTGAATCTCTTTGGTGAATTCTCATTCAAATGAAAACCCTCAAATTAATAAGACAAAAAATTAGGATAGTGACATGGAATATAGGAACATTAACAGACAGGTGTAGTGAACATGTAAAGTCATTAACAAGGAGAAAAATGAATATAATTTGTGCACAGAAAACAAAATGGAAAGGAGATAGGAGGAGAATATAAAATATTCTGCTTAGGAGGTGAAAATAACCAAGGAACGGTGTAGGTATAGTGGTAGTTTATTACATGAGAGAGAAAGTTGTGAAGTAAGAAGACAAGGGGACAAAATAATAGCTATTAAAGTTTTTTTAGAGGTACATATTTTAAAGGTTAAGTGCCAAAAACCCCCTCTTTATATACAAAATGTGCAATACCCCCTTGTTGTTCAATAAACTCCCCTACATTTTTCAATTTGTGCAAATACAGACTTTTGAGGAAATTGAACAGTGAATTGACTAATGGACCATTACAATAAAGAAAAAAAACAAAATAATATTTACTATATATACACTATATGTAAATGAAATTTTTATAAATGAACTTCTGTTTATGCCATCATTGAACCCAATTGTAAATGAGTTGGACGAAGAACCCGAGGCAAAGACACGAAGGCCTTGATGAGGCTTCTGGGCAACTCTTTGGCCGTTCCGGTTGTCTTTGTCCAAGGCAAGCTGGTGGGAGCTATGGGCAGAGTTGTGGCCTTTCACATCAATGGCACTCTTGTTCCACATATCAAGGAGGCTTGAGCTCTCTGGCTTTAATTGAATTTTTAATGTATATATTTATAATAGTTTTAAAGAGAGAAAGAGAACCTAATTACTATATATATATATATATATAGATGTAACATAAACTGAGATTAAGAGGAAGAGGAGTGGGTTTTGTGGGTCTCCTCCTTATCAAAATCGGACACTAATATAATGACTACTGTTTTTTTTTTTTTTCTTCTCCCAACTTTTGGGTCCTTGAACTGGTTCCGTTTTTTTGGTAGATTTCGCTAGCAAGGATGTCTCCGTCCACAACAGTTAACAATAGGTTTTGGATCGATTTCGACTTCCGAATTGCACAAGCAAGCTAGTCCTAATCAACTTTATGATCTCTCCGCAAGGCCAAATCAATTCATCAATTAATGCAAATCCAAACCCAAAGAAACAGAGAGCTATATACTATTAATCCAAAGGCAAACCAAAGAGACAATTTAGAGAGAGAGTGAAAGGATAGAGGAATTTTTTATTTATTTTATTTTATTTCTTGCTTACATCAGCAGTGAGGGCATTTCGGGTTTTTCTTAAAAAAAAATTGGTCAAAATTGATGATAAGGGGGAAATTTGCTCAAAAGGTTGATAATACAGAGTTTTTTATGCCCTTAAATTTTAATAGGGGTGTTTCTTGCACATTTTTTGTATAGCAGGGGTGTTTTTGCACTGAACCCATATTTTAAATATAATTAGTGCATATGCGCCTTAGGGAGCATTATAACCGTTGAAACACAGAGAGAGATAATATATGAAAACGTATATATTATTGAGTGAGTAATACAGTAATACAATGGTGTTTATATATGAGAAGCTACGAGAGTAGGTGAGTGGAGAACAAGTAAACCCTATACTTGGTAATTCTATATATGGTAATGAGGGGTAGGTGAAGGCGGCTACAGAATACAGAAAACCCTAATATACAATGGAATCTAACTGTACACGTGTGACAACTCATACTATAATACTGTACAACACTCCCCCTTTAGCTGGAGAGTAAATGTCAATAACTCCCAGCTTGCTACATATGGAATCAATAGAGTTCTTGGGAAGCGCCCTAGTGAAGATGTCTACCAGAAGAAACAAAAGGTGTAACAATCTCATTCGAGTCAACTTTAGATCGAATGAAATGGCAATCTACTTCAATGTGTTTAGTCCTCTCATCATAGACTAGATTGCTAGCAATATGAATAGCTGCTTGATTGTCACAATGGAGAGGAATTGGGTACTGGACTGAAATCCCAAGTTCCTGTAAAAGAGTTTTCAACCAAGTAAGTTCACAGGTAGTGTCTGCCATGGCACGGTACTCTACTTCAGCACTGGAACAAGCCACAACTGACTGTTTCTACTTCAGTACTTGGTATCATAGTCAAGGTGGTTCGATTGCAATGAGGGCATTGCGAGTTTGACACCACCCATTCGGGAATGGTCTAGGGTGAGAGTGTCCATCCGGGAGATGTCGGGTAGGCAGGGTGATCCGACCTCAATGAGGGCGTTGCGAGTTTGGCACCACCCATTCAGAAACGGTCTAAGGAGACATAGTTGTTTCTTTTTTTTTTGGTCTGAGGAGACATTATTAATTTTTTCATCCACATTGTTTAAACATATGTATGAAGGGGAATGGTCTGAGGAGACGTTGTTGATTCTTCCATCTACATATTTTAAACATGTGAAGGGAAATGGTCTGAGGAGACATTATTGGTTGTTTATGGTCTGAGGAGACATAATTGGTTGTTTATGGTCTGAGGAGACATTATTGATTGTTTATGGTCTGAGGAGACATTATTGATTGTTTATGGTCTGAGGAGACATTTTTGGTTTGTTGATCGACATTTTTAATCGAGTCAGATTTGCACATGGCAACTTGTAGATTCTGAAGATGGGTGTTAGCAAGACCGTGTTTGAAGATGCATTGTCCAAGTTGGGTCCAAGTTGGGCGTCTCAAATATCCACGCACCCACTTGATAGGGAGTATTAGCAAATATGATAGCCACGATTTATGGAATGACTTACCGTATTAGCATAGATCTGATTATGCTATAGAATATGCCATAGAATATTCTATGATTTGATTTAGTTTCCTTTCTTGTAATATGAGCATGTGCTCTTTTTATTCATAAATAATAGAGCTGTGAAATATGTTAGATCACCTCTATTATCATCATCATCACTTTAAGTGGTTGACAGACCTAATATTCTATGATTATATTAATTTTTGATATTTTAACTCACTTTTATTTTTATTTTTTGGGTAAAAAGATATTTATGTAGAATATTATATTTATAGAATAAGGTATTTATGTATACGGAACATAATATTGCAAATTTATTTTTAAAATAAACAAAATAAAATAAATATAATTAAGTTCCTAGTAATTTTTAAAAGAAAAAAAAAATCTAAAAATTAGATCATATTTATAATCTACGACACAAAAAGATGATTTACATGTAGTCATGTATGAATGTAAATCACTTACCCCTTCAAAGAACATTATGATATATTTGAAAGATAGATTCATGAACATGTTAGATATAACAACATTTTCATGTTAGGTCTAGGTCGTCGTCGTCATCATCCTCGCCTTTTCCCAAAAGAAAGGGGCAGACCACACGAATTCTCCTTTTCCTTTCTATTCTATTATACACCATGTCTCCTCTAATATTTATTTTTTTGAAGTCATTTTTAATTACTTCATTCCATTGTTACCTTTGGTCAGATCCGCTATCTCTTTACCTTCTATGCAGACATGTTAGATCTAGGTGGAAAATAGAAATAAAAAAATTACAATTTTACTGATTATTTGCAAGATCCAAATACTTTAGTTGAAGGTCTATGGCCAAAATTTGTTTTTTTGAGTTTCGAAACTGCGATCTAAGGTGTTTGATGTGTTTGGAGGCTAAGAAAATCATTTGGTAGTGAAAGAAATTGGAAAAAGTGGAAAGGTATTAGCTTTTGTTACTCAACTAGCTGACTTGGTCGTGATGGAGCATGGCCGTGATGACGCCATAACGGCTAGTTACACGTGATGGCTTCGTCATTGCTAAGTCGCACCAAGCTGGTTTATGTTAATTAATCAATACCTTGGGATGAATAAGATTTGACCCTCTGAATTGGCTCAAGTTTTGGAACACTGGGCAAACATAATTTTGGCATAAAATCTGAGCCTAAGCTCAAATGACCTGGAACTCGGGATGGTCGGCCTACTAGAATTTTGGGATGAGTGGACTAGTTTTTTGGGTCGGCCCAACCAATGTGAACCTTTATTTAATATACTCTCTAAATAGAGCTCGAGTTCTAATTTTACAGAAACCATGAAAAATGGGATGCATTAAACTCTCTTAGTTATTGTGTCATGTAAATATGTTCTCTGGATCCGCTGCATTAACTTTTCTCAACATTCATGTGCAGTTATCATTCTCTGCTGCAAACTTACGTGATCGGGATGTGCTTTCAAAGGTTTGTTCCTCATTTTGTTGAGAATACTAGGGAGACTTTTCATTGCATTCGTACGATGTAATTTGCAAGTTGCAACTATATCAGGGAAAACATTCATAGTTAACTTTTTGTTCCAATTGCTGTAGTGGTTTGTAATTTAGTTTCATGTCTTCATGATGTTACGTGGCATTTTTTGTTTAGGTAATTTTTGTTCTTTGGTGACAAATTATGCTTTCCTGACTTGTGGAATTGTAGATTTTTAGTTTCTCTTTACTTGTGTCATATATCCCTCATCATTCCTATGCTGTAGCTCTACTGTGATATGAACTTTAATATATCAGTTCAATGAGATTTAGCAGAATAAACTGTTTACAAGTATGGTCTGTTTTTTACCAATCACTTCCAAAAATGAACTACTGGGAAATATATATTGATGCGTTGTAGAATTGAAATTACACATGCAGAAATACTAAGTTAAGCACAGAGACATCTTTTTTTTTAGTTGAGCATAAAGGCGTCTTTCTTGTAATGGCCTATAACATATGATCTATACACCTACACAAATGTCGTGTTTGTGGATATAAGATGTAATTGAACACATCAATTTTAAAAAATTCTAGACATGGGGACATGGTCACATGTTTACACTTTGTGAGTTTTTTGTCTGGGCTGTCTACAGCGGAATGAACTACCAAGGGATAGAATTAACACATAGCAAAGTAATGTTCAAGCATGGCATGCCAGAATGTGCTTTAGCCAATTTATTGTATGAAGAAAACCGTGTATGTGACTAATAGTGTCTACCAACTCCATTCCTTTACCTATCAATGTTCCTACATTCCAAGTCCTTATCCTATCTTGGGCAAACTTCTTTACCCGCACTTGTCCCGAAAAACGCGGGAACCCTTGCCTACTTTTTACCGCATCTGGGTGCCGATGCGATGCCCCTTGCCCATTTTTCGAAGCATCTAGAAGCTGATGCAACGCGTCGCTTAAGAGGTATGCCCTAACATCTACTCATATTCACAGGATTCATGTTCACATTCATCATGACAAAAGATTTACTTTGGTTATCAAGATACCCAACACAACCCTCCTCCTTTATCCGTGCTTGGGACTGGCTCTGTAAAGATGACATACTTTCATCATGTGTGGAATGATGTGAGGGTCAAACTCTGACATGATGTGTGGAAAAAGAAACAGACCTTTAAGCTGGGCTCCCAAGGCTCCTTAATTTGGTGGTTGATAAAGATGCTTCAATTTCTGACCATATGTTTCCTTCAAAAAGTGGAGCTGTAGAACCCGGGATGTTGCAAAGCATTCCAAGATCGTGAAGTGGAGTCATTGGTCTTTTTCCTTTAGGTGTTATGTTTTGGTCAATACTGTGGAGCTGGAAGGCTCCATTAATGGAAAGATCAGAAGGGAGGTTCACCATTAGATCCCATTATAGGATTTTGATTGAGGCAACAAGATGGCCGCCTTTCCTTGAAAGTGTTTTCGCACAGTAAAGCTCCCTTCAGTGTTCCATTCTTTGTGTGGGAGGTGGACTAGGAAAGCAATTCTGACCATTGATAATCCAAGGAAAAAGAAATTGCATTGTCATGAAGTGGTTAGTAATTCCCAAGCTGAGTTAAATAAGGACTCTTTGACTTTTCTTCAATGGACTTTCCAGGCATCATTGACTGCCTCAATCCTGACTAAAGCTTGCCCTCGAGTTTGATGCAATGTACCACGATCAAATAAGAACCCGAGTAAAGCCTTCCATCCTTTCTTCTTTTCCTTACTCGAACAAAACACACTAATCTGCTGTTAATGATAAAGAATCTGATTTTCAGACCTCTCTTTAGAAATGTTATGACAAATGCAACAAACCCAAGTTGAATCAAGAATCATGACAGAAAAGTATACACACCACACAAAGAACACAAAGATTTGTACATGGTTCGGCAACAGCCTACGTCCACGGTTGAGATCCGGTGAAAGTTTTCACTGTGTGTCAAATTGGAGATCACAAGATTTTAACTCCTCTCTCTGTTTCTGTACGAATTCCAGAGTCTCTCTTCCTCAATCTCTTAAGTCTCAACCCACAACATATGTACCTATTTATCGAGTTACAAACATAATTCCTTATTGGACAAGGATTACAATTTCTTAGGCCAAGACTTGCCAAAATAAGAAATTACCTAATAGAATACAACTTTAAAATAGAATCCTAATTAGAATAGGAATTTGAGACACAATTTCCAACAAGAAATTTAGTAGATTTCCAACACCTGTTAAACACAAATCAGGAGCCAAGACCTGAGTTAATCTGATTTTTGAATTGAAACAACTCCTAGCTATATATCGTGCCAAGAACCCATCCCAAATCAGGTCACGCATATGAAATCCATTATTAATCAAATCCATGAATGAAGAAGCTTCAGTTCTGACCAAAATATTCGGGAAACTTAAATCTGCTGTAATGCTTACTACACCACATACAGCTGGAGGTTCAATATTTTTATCTTCAAAGTCTCCACCTATTCGTCTGTCAATAAGTGTGAAGTCTGAAATTTCTGCCAACTTCAGAATCAACTTGAAATATTTGCTTAAATTTTTTGAGCAGTTCCCACTTTCTCACCACAAATCCACGATATGCAGATTGAATAATGACGGCTGCTTTAGCTTCTGAGATGTTATTGGCTGCTTCTTCAAACTTCTCCCCTTCTGTCTTATTTTTTTCTTCCTATTGCTCTTCATTGTTATAAAATTCTGAAAGCGAGAAAGTTGTAGTTTCCTTCAGCCTTTCAGATTCTTCATCTTCCCATCCAACAAATTCATCCCAAGCTGATGTGGCATCCACAAAATCAACATAATTTCCAATGTTGCAATTACCAGAAACTAGTGAACTCTTGGCGGACTTGTATCCTGAACCTTCACATGTGCAGGCCCAAAATTCAGATTCTTGTGCATGGTTCACCATTGATGTCCATGTGCGTTGTGATCTGGCAGCACTCTGCTTTGGACTTTTAGACTGCATATGGCACTGAAATCTCTTTCCAGCAGGCTGTCTTACACAATTTTCACATTCATATGCATCCACTTGCTGAGGAGGAATGATTCCATATTGTTCTAATAGAGTGCTCAGTCGGGAAATTTGATGAGAAAATTGATGTTGCAGATTTTTTGCAGCTTTTGAAAGTCTTCTTTTGTGACTATCTTGCTTCCTTGCCTAGCCATAGATCCGCAGCAATTACAGATCTAAGAGGAAAGGCTCTGATTCCACTTGAAGCAAACAGAAAAATAAACAAGTCTTCCTCACAACTGTAAGGGAGACAAGGAATACTCCAATCACCGTCGGAACCTAGATTTCTAAAGGGAAATCTGGGAAAAGCCTTGAGAACTGTCTAAAACCTGATAATACCTCAAAATATATTGTTAAAGACTTGGTTACAGCAACTATAGAGGGCTGTCCCTTTTATAATACTACTATTAATGACACTTGACTTTTCCTAGAATGACTCTTAGAATTCCCACACAACATTAATAAGACTTTACCACTTTCCTAAGTACACTTAGTAATTTCAAAGCTTAGTAACACAAGGACTCTTTGACTTTTCTTAAAGGCACGTTCCAAGGCGCCATTGACTGCCTCAACCTGACTAAAGTAGCTGTTGGACCAGCGGAAGCATGCGAATAAATAGATCCGAAGAAAGCCAAACAAAGCAATCACACACAAACACAAGATATACATGGTACAGCCAAAATCGGCCTACGTCGAGATTCCACTATGATTCGTAGAGATATTACAACAATAGAGTACCAACACCACGAGCCTATTTCCTCGCTACTAGCATCACCGGTGTTTTTCCTACTCTATTAACCCGCATACTACCTTTACCCATCATCTCCCTCATGAGACCACATCTCTCTCAATCTCATAATTCTCAACCCAAAGCTTATGTATATATTTATAGAGTTCCAAACTCAATTCCTTGTTGGAAAAGGATTACAATTTCTTAGAGGCCAAGACTTGTCAAACAAGAAATTACCAAACATAATACAACTCTAAAATAGAAACATAATTAGAATAGGAATTCGAGACACAAATTTCCAATAATCTCCACCTTGACTCAAATTCCATCTAGCCAATCATCACTTCCACGGCATTGATCAGACAATTCTTTTGTCACTTCAATCTCGATGATCCTCCTACAAAACTCCGATTGTCCATACTCTACGCTACTCGATCAATCAAACCTCCAAGGCTCCACCTTGACTACTTGAGCTCCATGCCATATAACCAAGCCGATTGACTCCACCTACAACTACTGAAGCCTGTTGCAGCACATGTTGAGACTTCTTGTGTTTTCTGAATCTCCTTCACCTTTGGCTCTGATACCAATTTGTTGGAGCAACGGAAGCGCGCAAATAAATAGATCCAAAGAAAGCCAAACAAAGCAATCACACATAAACACAAGATATACATGGTTCAGCCAAAACCGGCTTACGTCCACGGATGAGAAAAGATTCCACTATGATTCGTAGAGATATTACAATAATAGAGTACCAACACCACGAGCCTATTTCCTGGCTACCAGCGTCACCGGTGTTTTTCTTATTCTACTAATCCGCGTACTACCTCTACCCATCAACTCCCTCATGAGACTACATCTCTCTCAATCTCATAACTCTCAACCCAAAGCGTATGTATATATTTATAAAGTTCCAAACTCAATACCTTGTTAGACATGGATTACAATTTCTTAAGAGGCCATGACTTACCAAACAGAATACAACTCTAAAATAGAAACATAATTAGAATAGGAATTTGAGACACAAATTTCCAACAGTAGCCTTAATGATTTGCATCAAATGGAGTGCTGGGAAGGCGTGTGATAAGATTCCTTTCCGCGCCTTAAATGAGGCATAATAATGGATCTTTTGAAGGGTTGGAATCTACCCTTTTTAAGTTTGAGTTTTCATTTGTGCTTTCTTATTTTCTTTTAGCTTGATGAGTCGTCCATGCATTATTTTGC